CATTAGCAATGTATTCAATAAGGCCACTAGACGACTCTCTAGCTTCCTCTCCCATGAGTGATTCTATATGCTCTGTAGGGATTTCCAGGTGGGGTTTTTCATCTCCTTGTATGATACTGGCATCAAATATCGAGATAATACAAATACAGTTTTAGATAACAGACTAGGGTTCCACAACATGCATACTGCTGATTTTTTAAACTTCAGGGTGACATGAAAATGGATTTTAGCACCTCTCAGAACCCCCCAAAATTATATGCAGAATTTTGTGGGTATATATCTTTTTTCAAGAGAGCAGGTTTAAAGCTTTGATCAGATCCTCATTGTGATCCATGATTCTCTAAAAATTTCAAGAACCACTCTCCTACAGATTAGGTGTAACAAACAAGACTGGGTGGAACCTGTCTTAAAAGAAGCTTTGAGTTCCTCAAGCTTCCAAGCCATGTGCTCTTGCAATTCTAGGTTCTGTTAATGACTGTATGGTCTCCAGGTTCAGGGAGACATATGTATGTTCTACTCTGTTGTCATCTGGATGGCTGGGCTTGATTCTGGAGTCTGTGCTCTCATTGGGCAGTGATGCAGCAAGAGGGCATGACCACAGGCAGAGAAAGCCGCAGGTACCAGGTCCCGGTGAGAAACTGGTGAAGGAGTCAAGGATATTTTTTGGGAGAAAGAGAGTGTGGGAGAGTAGGAGAACCATATTTCCTCTTCAAACAGTCAACAGCTGCTAAGTAGGAAGAGGATGAGATTTAATCTATGCAGCTCCAGAATATAGAGCTAAGATCAATGGTCGGAGTTATGGGAAGAAAGAATTCAGTTTCATATAGGGAGGAACTTTTAAAAACAGTTAGAGAGATTCAAAATAGAAAGGGCTGCCTTATGAGGCTAATGAGTTTCCTGTCCCTTGAGTTTTCATACCAAGGCTGCATGTTCATCTGTCAGGAATGTGTAAGGGGATTCTTTATTGCAGAGAAGGTGGGAGAAAATGACCTCTCTGATTCCTTCTAATTCCATGATCTGTCTATTAAGATTTTATATCTCTTATTAAAATTTACAGTCAAAGACCCAACCACATGTTCCCTTGCTTCGTATAATAGATTCTTGTGGTGAATGACTTTACAAAGGAAATGATCACCCTTTTTTTTTCACTTTTGATTTTTACGTATTTTGTTTTCTTAAAATGGAGTGCAACTATACATGGAATGCTGAGCCTGCATTTTCAGCACATCCCCCTCCTTTTCTGAATCTCCACTGCCCCCATCAGAGTTCACCCTATCCTCACCTTTCCCCTGGACTCCTGCACTATCCTCCTACTTGCTATCCTGGCTTCCCAGCCTACCCACTCCAATCTATTCTCCACCAGCATCCAGAGAAATTTTTTAAAAACTATCAGGGCATGTCTTTCTGTCGAAAATCCTATAAATTGCCATTTCCCTTAAAGTCTACCTTGTAACCCTAGCCTACAAAGCTCTGGATGACATGGTGTCTCCAAGGTCACTCCATGCCGCCCGCCCCTACCCCTGCACTCCGGCCACGCTAGCCTACCTTCAGCATCTGCACCTGCTCTCCCGTCTGCATGGGGCCTGCTCCTTCCAGCTCCTTGCCATCCTTCAGGTCTCAGCTCACGTATCTCCTCAGAAAGGCTGTCCCTGGCCACCCTGTCTCAGCTGGCTGCGTACCGCTCCCCCCAGCCCTGACCCATACTCTACTACATCACTCAGTTTTATTTTCTTCACACCACTTACCACAATTTATAATCATCTTCCTTCTTATTTTTGACCTGGTATTGGCATCTTCTTCTGCCCTGCAGTACAGGCTCATTGGAAATAAGGACTTAGTCTGTGTAGTTCACTAATGTGTCTGTGTTCAGAGTCTAGCAAACCCACTGGCTCCTGGTTGGTGGCCAGTAAGTATTTCTGGAATAAAAGTCTGAATGAATGCATGAATGACTACATCCTGAAGTCTGTCCCATACAGAGAGTATAGGCCCTTAGACTGTAAGCATGAATATGTTTATTCAATGCCTCATCCTCTTACCCAGAATAGGCCCTCAAAAGAATTTTGGATTGATCCCCAAATTCACAAACATAATTTAAGGTCGAAGAGTACAGGTCCCTAAACCTAGGACACTGTGTCTTTTTTTTTTTTCCTTCTCTGAGGGCACTCAAAAAAAAAGTTCTGGCAGTAAGGAACAAGATATGCTGGAATGGGTTACTGAGGAGGTGGTAGAATCTCCTTTTCTGGAGCTCTTTAAAAATAGAACAGCCATCTGGGATGATTTAGATATGGTCTTCATTGAAGAAGGGGGATGGAAGAGGGAATTAAAGATCTAAGTCCCATCTCATCCTTGATTTTCTGATATTCTGCTTTAAAGTTTGATTCATAGCAAAAGCTTAAAAGGAGCTAGGAATTTATTTTTTCTTTTTAACTGAAAGTTAAATACCATTTTAGTTTGAACTGTATTTCTGCTGTATCACTCTCCTTTTCTCCTCAAATGGGCAATTTGGATGTCATAATTTTTTGTTATGTAGAAAGTTTAGGTGAAACTTAACTTCCTCTTTCCCAGGAAGGAAAGCAAAGGGGTTAAAGATGGGAGTTAAGATGTTAGGAAATAGCTTGAAAAGTACAAATCAGTGCGGGTCCTGTTCATGCCACTGAAAAGGACAGGGGGACAGGATGCAGCCCATGGAATAAGGCAAGATCTTGTAGAATCTGGGATATCTCAAAACAGGGACCTGCTGTAGTTGAATATGGAAGTTACACTCTAGAAGTCTAGTCTATTGCTTGTAACTAGTGATTCTCTGTTTTCTTGTTTTGTTTCAATGGGATCAAGCTTGGGAAAGATAAAGAATATAAGGTGTATTTTTCTTATATTTGGCTATGAAATTGTAGCAACTGCACTGTTTCCTGGCTTTGTTCTTAAGACTTTTGATTGTCAAAGCTGTGTAGTCAAAAGAATAATAGATTTTAATACACAGAAGGCTGAATTTTACTGTTTTACTATAGAGACCACACTGTAAAAAGTCTTATTGGATTTGTTTCTTAACAGTATTTGCATGCTGTAACTGTTTTTCTACCCTAAAGAAGCTTGGTTGTGATTACCAAATACATTTATTTTTAAACGTTCATTACATGCACTGTTGTACATAACAAACTAATGGCCAATATACTCTAGTGTTGTTTCATTTTCTTTTCCCAGAAGAACACAGATTTCAATGACAATACTACATTTTCTGCCTTTCTGTAAGTTAATGAATTATCCATATTTTTATGAAGTATCATGTTAAGTCAGAGCAAAGCATGACCATAAAGGTCTTCACAAGCCATACTTGAAAATTGGCCTTGTCACTTTGTACGACATTAATCCAGTCCATGCACTCCCTCATCTGCTCTCTGAGCCCAGGGCCATGGCTGAGCAGCCACATGGGTGAAATCTCTGCAGATCCATGTATGTGCATCTGCATCCACTTATGCTAGAAATAGAATTTGAATTTCAGAAAGGAAAGTCTTAAGTAGAAATAAGAACTCCTAAAAACAAAAAGGGGGGAATGGGATATTCTCAAAGAACTTTAACACAAACCACTTCTAGGTGCCTTCTTAATCCAAAATCCACACATCATTGTGTTTTGGTACAACCTGTCATGCAACTTTTGCTAAAGTGGCCACCACCCACCTGTCATTAATGGATGGAGGATACATATTTGTTCAGGGAAGTGAGAAACATCTGTTAGTCTAACAGAACGGGATAAGTGTCCGTAGAGAAGCACATTTCTGGGAAGTGTAATTTCTATAGAACATAGCTACAACTTTTCTTGCCATGAGGCCAATCTCAGTGCTGAATTCCCTGGGATTATTACTGCTTTGAGGGACTGAGGTACAGGGTCAGGCACAGGCTAGTGCTCCAGAGCTGGGACACTGGGTGATTTAATCCCTGGGGGAAAGCCAGGACTGGTTTGGGCCCAGCTAGGTCAGATCTGCAGAGTGCAGCCCCCGCCCACGACTTCCTCTCTACCTCCTGCTTTACAGCTTTCCCTGTACTCTGTTCTCACCAGCCTGGGTGGGTGGGAACAGCTGAAAGCGTAGCCCTCCCGAGTCCCCCAGATCTCTTTCCTGGTCACGACTCCTCATCTGTCTCCTCTCTCTCTTTTCCACCTTACGCTGTCCTGTTTGATCACAGGGGCTGTCCAGGAAGAAACTCAGCAGGTGCATGCCACCCTGTCTGGGAGGCTTGCGCCTGAATCAGTTTGTCTGTGTACCACCCCTCACACTGCCTTTCACATCCAGGCTCCAGGATAGCTCACATCAAGGGCCACCATTTCCCTCTCCTGGCTTCTGATCAACTTTTCCCTCTTCCTTGCTTGCTGGTCCGTGGGAAGGCTGGCCACCTTGTTCTTTATAAACCACGGTTTTCAGTCTCACTTCACTCTGCTGCACAGCCTGCTTTTGGTCCTTTGGGGTTTTCTCACACCCTCCCTCACAAATTCAACACCACCACTCCCTCAGTGCAAAGCAAGCATCTGAAGCTTGCTGGGGCTTGCAAAAAATGGGAGGGGGGTTGCTGCTTGCCCAGAGCCTTTCCTCTGGTGCTGCAAATGTTAACGCCGATCTGCAGGGAGATTGCAATTCCAACATAATGAGATATTAATGAGCTTTGCACATGTCCCTAGCCACAACATTTCTCTCCCCCTTCCCCCTCACTCCCTCTTCTGCAAATCTAAAGAGAATCTGCTCCTTCTCTGACACTAGGATTCCTCCACCTCCCTTCGTGCCTGCCCTCTCCCACTCCAGCACCCTGGCTGGCCCGCTCACCTCAAGCTGCCAGCACACCGAGCACCAAATAGGCTGGCACCGCCTTGTTTCCCAGCCTAATGGAGGCTTGTTTAAACACTGGAGCTGTTTGCATTGCTGCGGCTCACTGCATGTTAAACACAGCCCTCTGAAACCCTATCCCAATCCAATAAAGGTATCAGCAGTTCAGTGTGGGGAGGCAATTACTATGTGGTCCCAAGTGTGCCTTCTAAGCTCTAGGAAGGAAAATTTGATCGAACAACTAAAAGGAAAATCTGATTCGGCACAGCATCACGTGGAGGACACAAGGCTTAACTGCAGCCAGGTCTGTGGAGGGCAGAGGGAAATCAATGATGAGCTTGGGAGAGCAACCGCACATTGTTAAGAGGGCTTTAAGCCAGACTGTTAGTAACACGGGCTCTCCTGTCTTTGCTGAGAGGCACGCGCCTGTCCTCCCACTGCAACTCCCTTTCTCTCTCGCTTTCTTTTTTGTATTCCCAGGGGTATACTTATTTATTTTTTAATGACAAACTGCCATCCTTCTTAACACCCTCCACCTCTCACTCACCTTTAATTCCTTAAGCACTCATATAAAAAAAAATGGCTTTTCTTGTGCAAGATCATTACCATATCAAAGGCAGGAGAGAGAAAGCAAAAATGATAGAAGGATAATATACTGGCAGAGAGAAGAAGGCAGGCCTGCTTCAGAGAGAACGCTGAGTCCCTAACCTCAGGCTAATGATACCAGTCGATAACGCAATGGATTGGTTTTCTGCCTTAGCTAAGTCTGAAAAACCAGGGGAATTAGATACCAGATTTAAATTTATTTCTCACCCAAGGAGCAAAAGTTTTGGGATGGTGAATCCTGTCCTTTATTTTTAAGTTCTGGACATGAAGAGATATGTAGGGGGCTTAGGTTTCCTTTACTTCTGCTTGTTTTTCATTCCAAAACCTGCCCTGCAATGGCCCTTCTTAACGAGGAAGAGGGCGAAAGCAGCAATGAGTGTGTCTGGCAACACTGAGAAATGCTGTACATAGTGTTCGCTAGGGTGCCATCCATTCACCAGGGATTTTGCCAAATCCCAGTCTATTCTCCAAGGTTCCTGGCACAAGGGATAAACCAGGGTGGAGCCAGGGCACTGCTATCAGCATCATGCAGCAGCAGCTCCTGTCTGATGGGTATAAGGATACAGCTGTCCCTTCACAGGGTGTGGGGCCGGAGCGCTGAGGTTAGCAATTTCACGGGGTCCTTGCCCCTCAAGGCCAGGAGGTGGAGTGAGCTCTCCTCTGACAGGGTCCTGGGATAACTAGCACACTGGAAAGCATGCAGCCCCTAAGCATGTTCATGGGGTCTCTGGACCAGCACACACTGAGTCCCCAGAACAATGGAGGGTCTGGCCTTGCCATGTCACGCACTATGGCTCCCACACCCCATGTTCCAGGTGGTGGCAACTGGGCAATGAAGCCCCACCAGGCAAGCAGCAAGGCAGTACTGGAGGCATGATGCGTTCCTGCGCCTCCCATTGTCGCCAACTGGAACAGGCATGGCAACTCGTAGAGAGAAGTGGCCAGTGCCTGTAACTGTTCATGTTAGGTAAAGTATCACTGATTTTACGTAAGCTATGAATAGTAGTATATTTAATTGTTGTGTTCTTCTTGGTTTCCTGACTTAACACCCATGGAAGAGCCTCATTATCTCAGGCCTGGAAATATGGGTGAGTGAACTATGGTAAAACCCCTTCCGAAAACTATAATAAATGCCTTGCTTGTCCTGCGCATTGGGATGAAGTGTTCCATTTAAGATATAGGGCTATGTCTTTTAAGCGACAAAATACTTTTTTTAAAGACTTTAAACCTTTGAGATGAAAAGCTTTCTAAAAATATTTGGATGCTTCCCTCGTTTATTAAGAGGCAGGTAAGTTTTTTGATAACTCACAGGGTCACAAGTTGAGGCTATTTAGTTTCTTTGTTTAGGAAAGAAAAAAGGCTTGTTTTTTTTATTACCACCTATAGTTATTAAGGAGAAAGAGAGCTTTGCAAAGATGGTAGACCAATATGTTTATGAGACCCATTTATGACCCTATTTTGAGATACCACCTTGGTATACATCTGTCCAGAGTTTGCATCTGTAGGAATGCTATATCTGTTTCTCAACAAAACAGGAACTTTCTCCCATTTCTACTCAGCAGGAATAGCACATTTTAATTTCTTTTTCCTTCTTTGTGCCTGAAATATCACCATGGAATTAAAAAAAGTGATAACTGCTCTTAAACTTCTTTAATCTACTCTCCTTTCTCTCCCCAGGCACAGAAACTCACAAAATCCCTGTGTACTGTCATTTTAATCCAGAGATAACAGCTGAATTAAAATAAAATCACAGAAAGACAGAGATGTGTCATAAAAGAAAATATTTTGTTAACAGCAATTCAGTAGAAGCATTTTCAGGTGGACACAGGATGTTCCTCTTCTAATTGCTCTTTTGTGTGTACATTAAGAGTCTATTTTACCTTAATATATAAAGAAACATCTCTGCAATCTTTACCTTTCATATTATTTACATAAAACCTCTCTTTTTTCTTATTTGTAACACCTGAAATTTATCATGTAAACATCTTGAATTGTTAGCCTGAACCAAAAAGTGGTATCCCTTCTCACCACCATGAAATAAAAATCATATCCTATTGTAAAATTGTTAGATGGTGCTAAAAATCATTGAAGTCAGGTATTCTAAAGTTTACTTTCATTGTCTGGCAAGCTTCACTCCCAACTACTACTTCTCTCAAAAATGTTGGTTTTGTACCTACAAAAATGTAGGTACAACAAAAATGTTGTACACTATGTACAGTCAGATATGGATGTCAAAATTTTTCTTCCCCTCAGGAAATGAGCGTCTTATTCATCTCATTTCAGTATCCATTTAGATCATCACTTTTTGAGCACCAAAAATTGCTGGACCGAAAGCTTTGTCAGGAATAAAACTGGAGATTCCCAAACCCGAGTTAACTGATAATGAAAAAGCCCAGATTATTATCTGGGAGAGCTCTGGCCTGTGGACTCACCTGCCCTGTTCCCTGCGGGGCTCAGTGACACAGAGGCCTACCAGCCAAACACAATTTCAGCTTCCATTAGAAGAATTACATCTTTAGAACAAAAATGATTTTAGATTAGACTTACAGCATAAATTCAATTTGGACCCCTCACTAAAACATTTATAAAGGTCCGTCTTTTAGTCGTCACCAGAGAGATTACTTTAATCTGCATTATGCAAAGGGGTGGGAGAGAAGATCTTATGTGGGTCCCTGCCCTGGAGTGGTTGCTCCTACTGCTAAGATAAAAGGGCCAAGAAAGAAGGTATTGGACCCAAACCAAGAGTATAAAAGAAAATGTGAAGAAGTGTAGAAAGTGGGGTCAGCCCTGTCACCTTGACCCTCTCTGTGCAGAGCAGAGACCACTGATAATCCATAGAAAGGTACCAAGTCTGGTCAAGAACAAGTTGACTGAAGGTTTATTATATTCTATTTTTCTGTATGTTTGAACATTTCCAAAATTAAAAGTTAAAAAAAAAAGGTATGTCTACTGGTTTACTGGAAAAAGAGAACAGAGGGCCAGAGAAGTGGATATTGGAGCAGTTCAGTCATTTTAGCACTAGAAATCCCAAGTGCTCCCCCAGGTCACAATGCAGGAAGAAAGAGGGGGATGGAGAAGGCACAGATGCAGAAAGGGCTGCCTTAGGTCTTGCTCAAAGAACTTCCCAGGCAGGGTGATGAAGAGGGCCCAGGAAAAGGAGAAAATGCTACTGCCAGTGTCATGTTCTCAGAAGAGATATCCAACAGAGCCCTGGACAGCTAGAAAATTCACATACAGCAAACACATATGCTCTGTATTTTCTGAACTGAAGGAAAGACCCTTTTGTACAGGCTATTAGACCCATGTACCTAGAAGAAAGTGGAAATGAGATACATGAGAAGGAATGGTGAATAGAAAGAATACAAAAGGATATTTGACTGCTTGACTTTCTTCAAAGGTAGTTTAGACTCTCTATGGTTAAATAAATGTTTATAATATTAATTACTAATAGCTTCCCTTAAATTTTATTAAAAGACACTTTTTTTTGACCTACAGAAAAGTTGCAAAAAGAAAGCAAAGTTATTCTAACCCTTTATGCTGCTTTCCTGAATGTTAACATCTCACATAACCATGGTACACTTATCAAGAACAGGAAATTAACAGTCATACAATATTACTAATTAAGCTATAAGCCTTACAGAATTTCACCATTTTTTCCCCACTAATGTCCTTTTTCTGTTTTAGGATCCTACCCAGAATGATCCCATATTGCATTTGGTTGTTATTTCTCCTAGTCTTTTTCAGTTTGTAACTATTTCTAGTTTTTCCTTGCCTACCTCATCCTTTACACTGTTCTTGAAGAGTAGTGAGCAATTATTCTGTAGGAGTTGCCTCAACTTTGGTTTGTCGAATGTATTTTCCTGACTGGAATGAAGTTATGCATTCTTAGCAAGAACACTATCAAGACTATGTATTTTTCTCATCAAGTGCATCATGTCAAGGGGTTCATGACATCAACATGTCTTATTACTGGTGATGTTCCCCTTGATCACTTAAGGTTAAGCTGGAGTCTGCTGGTTTCTTCACTGTATAGTTACTTTCTTTCCCTTTGTAGTAAATAAGTATCCTTCAGGAAATGTGCTGAAACTATGCAAATCCTGTTTCTGAAACACTGCTCGCTAATTTTAGCATCCATCTGTAGATCTTGTCTGAAACAAGTATTACTGTGGTAGTCGCCTAATGGTGATTCTGTTTCCCACTTCCACATTTCTTGTCTGGAATTCTACTTTAGGAAGAGCTGTCCCATCTTCCTACTGGTTTGTTTTTTAGTCAGTTTGGACTACTGGATATCAATTTAATCTATGGGTTAAAATTCGAAACTATCATTATTTTGCTGCCCCAGTTATTCTGGCTTTGGTCACTGGGAACACATTTTAGGCTAACTTCTGTTCTTTCTCTCAGGAAGCCCTCGTCTTTTTTACCGAGTGTTTTCCTATTTCTTGGCCCTATAGGTGTTCCAGGATCTCAGAATCAACAGCTTCTCCAAGTAGGCTTGGTTCCTCTATCAAGGAAATAGTATTTAGGACAAGAGATGGGTGCTGAGTGAGTTTACTGCTGCTAAGCACTCTCATCAGAGAGCCAGGTAATATCTGTATGGATATCACACATACGCATATGTATATTTATATTTCTGTATCTATCTGCTTATTTATAAGTGTATATATGGCAGTAGCTTTCACTGCTGCTCTGACTCTGACCTGACATCATGGGGTCTAGCCGCCCCCCGTCCTTCCTGGTGACTTTCTTTTCTATCAGTGCAATGCCCATAATAGCATCTTTTAACACCAAAGATTGTTACATATAATAATCAGTTCCAAAGCCATTTGTGGATTAGACTGGAAATGGATTTACTCATTTAGGCAATGTTAATGGGCATGTCCTGTGGTTAAGGGCCTGTACCACGCACTCTTGGTGGAACAAGGATGGTTCTTACACACTCCCTTCAGGAAGTTTAGGAGCTACAAGCATATAATACAGAAAGTAATAAGGAGTGTTAGGAGAAAGAAACTGCTATGGGCATGCAGGGGAAGGAGAAATGCCCTCCAATGAAGGAGTAAGGGAAGGCTTCTCAAAGAATCTGTGCATCTTTAGGACTGGCAGAATGGGATCTGTAAAGATTAGGGGAAAGCACTTCAGGAAAAGGGAATGGCTGGAACAAAAGCATGGAAAGGAGGCCATGCATGGCAAGGGAAGGGCACCAGCCCCATCTGGGTAGATGGCAGGGCACAGGGAGGGAGTGTGGTGGCTGCAGTTGGATCACAGTGCAACCATGAACAGCTGGCTGTGGTGGGACTTGGGCTCTATTCAGGGGGCCATGGAGAGCTCCTGAGACTTTATGAGCAACAAGTGACCTGACAGGGGTGACATAGTGGGGCTTGGAATGGAGGAGGGATTTAAGGGACAGGGAGGATCTTGGGAGGAGAGAAGTCATTTTGGAAGCTCTTGATACAGGTTAGGGGATCAGAGGGTCTGAGGCAAGAACAACAGGTATGAAGAGGCAGGAATATTTATTAGAACCTGGCTTGAATACAATCAACGACACTGGACAATAGATTAGATGAGAAGAGCAATGAGAGAGTCAAAGGTCCTTTCTCAGAATTGTAGGGTAGTTAGCACTCTCTAAACTAGAAATTACGCATATTTAATCCACTATGACCTGAAGGCTATTAAAACAGTGCAATATAACTTCAGTCACCAGGGAGCTTTAGAACACTGGAGTTAGAACAAGACGAGTGCAGCTGCTCTATTAATGCAGTATCACTATTCAGATGTGATCGTTGTTCTCAGGGCACCGCTTAAACTCAACTACACCAGCAGCTATACAATCAGGACAGCACTTCTTAGTACTCAGTATGAAAGCATAGGTTGAACTTGCTGGAGAATATTAAGCTTTCGGGCTGGAGAAGCAACTACAGAGTCAACTGCTATTATGCCATAGTCTCTGTTAATTACGTTCTTTTGAAGGAAAAAAGAAAAGAGATACATGTGTTCATTTCTTTTGCAAGATGCCAGACCACTTAGCCATGCCCTAGTGAACAGGAAGGACAGAGTGGAGAGAAGGAGAGCAAGTGATTTTTCTTCTATTAGATTGTGTAGGCCCATTGGCAACAAGGAAGTCTGGCATGGATGCCCAGCTTTGCCCCAGCCAGGGGACTGTGTGGGAAAGGGTCTGCACCCACTATCACCCACTCCTTCTTACTCTGCTTGTAGAGGTGAAAGGACTTCAGGCTGTCTCTTAGACAAGGTGTCCCTCCTTCCCTAAAGGCTCTCACAGAATGAAGCTGCTAAAATGGTTCCTAAAATAGACATTCGTCCTAGAAATACAGATCTTGTTAACTGGGTAGAAGGTAGTGGCCACCTACTTGTCTTCTTCAGTGGAGTCAAAAGACTCCCTTTGAAGAAGAGGTCCACATTATCCACCAAGGAAAGCTCTGTGTGACCATGAGTTGTCCACTCCCAGAACACATATCCAGGCAGAGTTTGTGGACATGAATTCATACAGTGAGTTCACAAAGGTGTTGAGGAAGGCTGTGCACTGGGGCTTCATTAATACAAAGATGGGTCGAGGGGATAAAGACGAAGAGTTCCCATCATTACAGAGCTCAGCAGCTCTGAAGATACTAAATAGCTACTCCTGCAGGAATTAAGCTCTGTCATTAGAAAACTGCCATATTAAAAATCATCTCTATCAATGAAGGCAAGCAAGGCTGGCAGGACTGGAGGGTCAATTACAGGCACTCAAATACAGTAGCCAGGA